CACAGCCTTGGCCCCCCCCCCCCCCAGTCCCTGTTATATTGTTATTGCAAAAAAAGTTCACCTGTCTTTTATTAGTTTTGAGAAAAAAAGAGAAAATTAACAAATTTTCGTACTGCAAACATACATATATTCGTCTTTAAAACCTTGAAAACCTTGAAAAGGGCTTGAAAACCAAGAAAACCACCTTGAAAACCTTGAATTTTAGGGAATTTTAGGCTGGGAAGCCTGATCTAAACTGCAAACCCTACCCATTGCTGAGCAAGGCCTTTATCTTCTCCGACAAGCGGGATCATCAATAATGAAGTCTGCTCGTCATCTTCTTACAGCGTTCGATGTCTGTGTGAAGGTAAAGTGGTGATATCCTCTGGATCAGGCAGAGGTCGAGTGTTATTACCTCAGTATGGCTGTTCCACTACTACAGTAATATTCCCGATAACACTCTAACTTCATTAGACAATTGTTCTGCTCAGAACAAATGCTGGACGCTATATGTTTGCTCATCAACAGCCCTATAAAGTAAAATAGGGCTTGACAAGATAAAAATCAAATATATCTGGAGCCAGGACATCAGATATACGTTCATGAGCCATAAATCGGAACTGCCTAACAGTTGGGGCAGCTACACAGGTATGAGGACTTTGTTCGTGCGGTGGAAAAGGTGGGTGCTGCTCACTGCTGCTGTTCCTATAGCCTGTTCGGACTTTCATCCGTGGCCTAGGTCATATGGTGTTTTTCCTGGAAATCACTTTTCTCTACGTTTCATGCTACCCTGATCATTATGAGCCGAAATCATTGTTATGATATCTGGCCAATCACCTTCCCAACTACTTACATTAGCATTTAACAGCCGGATACCGGATTCATTTCGAAACTTTATCACTGTCAGAGTGGAATTTGAATTTAAAAAATTGTCAAATTGTTATTATTTTAGATAAGAGGGTAAAAAATAAAATGTTAATTACGTAATCCCCCCCCCCCCCTCGTAATCAACCGTAATCATTTGGGAACCCCCTAGGCTGATTACGTTATATGTGAACGACCCCTAATCCCATACTATCACCAATTTCTAATCGTCAAAACAAGCGTCGAAATTCTGGATTACAAAACAACGTTTTATAAGGAATTGCAACTTTTCATTCCTGCTCGTTGCCATTATTTTTTAATCCCCCGGGGAGAAGGGAGTGTTTTCGTGTTCTTAAATCATCACCAATCAATTTGTCGTAAAATTTTAAGTTAGAATGATCGCAGGTAAAGTTCTCAATAATGTTGGTGTACTTAAGCACTTTTCTCAGAAAACGTAATTTTTAAACTTTTTATTTTAGCGTGTCCCAATATTACAACCAGTGTTTCGTCACAACAGTATTAGACTAATTTTTGGTCATGTTTTTGATGACCAGTGGTTTGAACGGGTCATTTTCATCAGAACATGGAGCTTTTGCCGATGTGGCTGTACTTAAGCACTTTTCTAAGAAAACGAAATTTCAAATTTTCTATTTCAGCGTGTCCCCTATTTACAACCAATGTTTCATCACAACAGTTTAAGGCTAATTTTTCGTTTTACTTTCGATGACCAATGGTTTGAACGGGTCATTTTCATCAGAACATGTAGTATTTGCCGATGTGACTGTACTTAAGCACTTTTCTAAGAAATTCAAACTATAATTTGAGATTTTGAGGCACTTTCCGAGAAATTAGGATGATGAAACCTTGTCAGAAGTCTCAAAAGTCGACAAAGTACCTTAGAAACATAGTGGGTGCAGTTTAAATTGGACAGTAGCTAGCCCAGAGCAATTACAGAATTGAAATCTTTAACCTCAATTTGCACAAAATGAACCTTGTGTTACTTAAGCACTTTTGTCAGAAAACGGCAGAAATGGGCATTATATTTTATGAATTGTTTTACATCTTTTTATTCTGTAAAAATGTGCTAAAATTAAATTTCTTGTTTCATTGAAAATTTCTTGTTTCATTGATTGTATATAATTATTTAAAAAACTTTATTTGGTTGTTCGTTTTTTATTAATTTGTTTGTTTGTTTGGGGACTGGTTTGTAAGCCAGCCAATGTTTACGAATATAATATTAATAACTTTATTACATAATTATAAATATATATCATAAATAAATCAAATCTGAAACACAAATTTGCACGCAGTCAATAAATTTATAGAAAAAAGAAAATGAAAATGAAAAAAAAAGGTTTATTGATAAAAACAAAATATGGAGCACTCTGTGCTTCCAACAGCCTTTCAGACTCGCGCTAAGTTTGTTAGGGACTGATTTAGGATATCGTAGATATTGCTATGCCATGTCATTAGTTTGGATATGTAGTGTTTGTGATTGTTGAAATCAATTAATTACGGTTTGTGCTGATAGGAAAATAGTGATAGTGGGGAATGTGGCAGTGTAAATATGGACCTGGAATTTAGGATGTGTGGCTTATCCATTAACATTAGTTGCCGCTAGTCTGTGATCAGTTTGTTCTGGTTTTTTTGTGTGCAAATATATATTCATAGTTTAATTTTGTAATATCATATAATATAGTACTTAATAATAACCATATGACTAATAACTGATTTACTAATTAACTAATTTACTAATTCACTAAACTGATATAATGACCGTTGTGTCCAGTAACTTTCAGACACGTTGTGACCTTCTTAGACCTGGAATATTATGTAATAAGAAACTGGGCCACGTGTCATCGTCATTTTCACTCTGCAGGTTCAAGAGCATGCGTTTTGTAGCCGATTTAAAAAGGTTTATGGAAAAAAGTGTGGGTAGGGTGCTTACATTTGCATTTACAGCATAAATTGAGAGTAAAGGTCCTTTGAAGAACATCGAAGATCTGAAATGTGTGGTGTTGTACTCGGCTAACCAGGATGCTGCAGTCACGTGATCTGAGTTTGCAGTGGGTGCATTTTCTGGGATAGTCATACAGATTTGTTGAGGGACTGAGCTGCGGAAATGTTTGATTCGGTGCATGAGAATTAGTGTGTTTTTTACAATAACACTGTGCACCGTGAGTATACCATTGTTATTGAAAAATTGTTTTGTGTGTTCTGGCAGTCGACCGTCTTTGTAAAAGTAATTAATGTGACCTGGCATTAAGATTATAATATTTATAAGCCTCCGTTTTGAAAGTTTTCAATTTTAATACATCCACATTTCTATTTAAGATTCAATTTTGTGTATAAATCAATAACTGGCCTCCAAAGCCGCGCACTTATATCCAAATTTTTAAAATAAATTACAATCTTACCTAAATTACTATTATATCATAATCTATCGTCAATTTTAAATATTTACAATGCAACATTTCATTGATCTATAAATAATAAATAAAATTGGCATACTATGTTATTTGACATTTGTCCTTGACTGCTAATTGAACTGTGAAAGGACATACAACACACCACTCAAAACATGTACAAAGCTGCTTCGAAAACCAAATATTTACTCCTCTACAAACATCTATGGACGGGAAATTCTGACTTGCTGACTTAAGGCAACTTCATGGTCTGAGTATCGATGCGCTGTCTCCATAGAACTCTAACCACCATAAGTCCAACCTTTTCTCCAGTTTGGTTGAAACCCATGTCAGCTCCTAAGCTATCAACATAAGTCATGGTTGATCTTCCCCTACTCTGCACCCAATGAATTGGTTCCCAAAGTAGCAATCGGTTTTCGATTAGCCCTGAGTACCGACATGCTAGTCGCATCCTGAGCTATTGGATCTTCATAGTTGCCCTCGGCAGGTTGCCATAGACTTCTTTGTTGGTTTTGCAATGATTCCAGTCTACATTTTGTGAAATCCTAAGCATTCTAGTGTTCTGTTATCTGTTAGCGTCCTTGTTTCAGAACCATCTCAGAGTATTGACTCCAAAGTAGCAACAAAGAGACGGATCTTTAGTCCTCTCTTAAGGTCAGACTTCCATGATATATACACAAAGATAGTCTGCTCATAATGTAGCTGATATCCACGACAGGCTCAATATTACAGCCATTGCCATACCAGCATCAAGTGACCATCTAACTACGGGGGGGGGGGGGGGGGGGGGGGGGCCAACCATATTAAAGTATATTAAAGTATATCCCCGGGTCAAAATCGGAAAAAATCCTACATTTTAATATACTTTAATATACCTACAATTAGAAGATTTATATTTTTCGTTAAGATTTACATGATGAACTATATTTTTCACTCAGATTCGCAAGATAAGCCTGTTTAAGGACTAGTACATGAATTTCCATCCAGATTGGTCAAAAATTGGCTGAGCTATGAGCTTAAAAAAATATGCCCATATTTGGGCATACGCTTTTGCCCAAATTGGCTTTTGCCCAAATTCGATAAAATTTCAATACTTTTTAATGAGACTAACTCTATGTGAAAGATATAACTCAGTGTTTGTTGAATATAGTGGATACTAAGTAAAAAGACCTCCATGAACAAAATTGGAAAAATTGCACATAATATCTCGGTTCGGAATACTAGCCAAAATGACTTCATTAAAATTGAAATAACTCCATCAGTTTTCAATATTTTTTCAAGACCTTTTTGGAATCGATTAAGAATTGCATTTCAAGCTTATTTTGGGCAACAATTTTTGATGTAGGCCTCCAAGGAGATAAGGATATATTAAAGTATATTAAAGTATATTAAAGTATATTAAAGTATATCCCCGGGTCAAAATCGGGAAAAATCCTACATTTTAATATACTTTAATATGGTTGGCCCCCCCCCCAACTACAGTGAATATTCAATAGACTGGCCAGTTTCTGCTTTTCTAGAAAGATCAATTTTTGACCGCTGCAGTATCATTTAAGATTTATTACATTGACAGTAATTGACACAGTGGTGTAATGTGTCATATTGGTGCACCCCTGTGCCCACAGGAGGATAAATCAGGGTTTGACTGTAACTAAATTTGCTCAATGCTGATTTTTTGTTGTTATAATAGATATTTTGGTTGATTGGTTGATTAACTTACTACTACTGTAGCAAGAAGTGACAAGATTTCCCCAGGCCATGCCTCATGTGAGTGATCTTGATTGATTCTTGCTCATCTTTTGGACACAGTCTTATTTTATCTTATTTTATCTTATTTTATCTTATTTTATCTTATTTTATCTTATTTTATCTTATTTTATCTTATTTTATCTTATTTTATCTTATTTTATCTTATTTTATCTTATTTTATCTTATTTTATCTTATTTTATCTTATTTTATCTTATTTTATCTTATTTTATCTTATTTTATCTTATTTTATCTTATTTTATCTTATTTTATCTTATTTTATCTTATTTTATCTTATTTTATCTTATTTTATCTTATTTTATCTTATTTTATCTTATTTTATCTTATTTTATCTTATTTTATCTTATTTTATCTTATTTTATCTTATTTTATCTTATTTTATCTTATTTTATCTTATTTTATCTTATTTTATCTTATTTTATCTTATTTTATCTTATTTTATCTTATTTTATCTTATTTTATCTTATTTTATCTTATTTTATCTTATTTTATCTTATTTTATCTTATTTTATCTTATTTTATCTTATTTTATCTTATTTCAAATCATGTTACTGCAAGATAAACTGTTAGTTTTAAGATCTGACTATTAAGAACTAATTGTAACACTTTTTAAACGTGAGCTGTTTTCAGGGTGTAGCAGACAAGCAGTATGAACAGTATCTTAGTCTTCTGTCTCAAAGAAATAGGTTTCCTTACACTTTTGCTTGCAACTTTTTTGAGAGCTTTATTTTTACCTTGTTTCACTTTTAGAGTTCTTAAGAAAATCAGGAGAAGCGTATTTTTTTTTGGTATTGATGAAAATTTAATCAAGCATTGATAAAAGTGATGATGGTTCATGAATTACTGTTAGCAAGCTTTATGCTTCTTCTCTCAAGTTACATTGTTCAATGATTGATGATAAATGTTAAATAGGTTTCTGCGAAAGCTGAAAGAAAAGCCTGCAGATCAAAAAGCTCTTGAGAGACGAGAGCAGGGCTTCACTCTTTATATGAATGGTGCTAACAACAACTCTGCAAAACCCACTAACTCTGTGAAAAGTATGCATGTTTTGCTTTTTTATTAATAATATGCCTTATCATAAATAAATACAGCATAAACTACAAGTTATTGAAATAATGAACAAAAATTCCTAAAGAATGTGACCAAGAGCAAGTGAATAGTAAATAAAAACTAGCTTACTTACTATGGAAACAATCTCTTTTGGTAATTACTGCGGCATAATATAAATTATCTGGTAACACAACATATTCGTTTAAATCGAGTTTTTGAGGCTTCCCTTGTATTTGGCTTATGATTATGCATAATTAAGAAATTCTTGATAATATTGGGTTAGATACCCCAATATTATCAAGAATTTATTATCATAAATCATAATGCTCCTTTCATCACCTCAACTAAATGTTAACACGTAGAGGCAATACAGCTGGTGATAACTGTTGTCCTGTCCGAAAGTCACAAAAGTAACCCATAGAAATCTACTCAAAATATTGAGTGATGTAAAAATTAGCTTTCTCTAGAATTTTCAAATCGATTGTTGTCCCCACATCCAAGTGTTATATTTCCTCCCAGATGCGTCTTTTTCTAAATTCTGTGGCCAATCCAGCTGCGCAGCGAGCAAGCTGTGGCAGGGGTCTGGGGGCACAGCCCCCAGCAGGGTCCAGGGGCGGAGCCCCTTGGCAAATTTTTGCGAAATAGGGTATTTTAGACGACATTTGGCATTAAAGAAATTTATAGGACTGCAATAAACTGGGATTGAAAAGAATCAAGTACTCACGTAAATTTGGTAACTTCACAACAGCAATCTGCATTCTCCAATCAGAATATTTCACTGTGTTCCAAAACTGACAGGATGTTCCTCTTTGATTTTTATACAATCGAAACATTTTCTTCAAAAATTTCCTCAATTAATTTGTCTTTATTCCAAAAAAATATTTCGAAATTTAGGAGTAACTTCTCAAAAATTTCCTCTTTTTCCTCCCGTTTTTTCCTCCCGAAAAAAAATTTCCTCCCAGGCTGCCTGGCAAGATGGCGTGTTTCTGGATGTGGGTTGTTGTCAGCTTGATTATAGTGATACTAAGTTCACTATCCGTAAAACACTAAAACAAGTTCGTCCGTCTTGTCTAATTTCCTCATATCCGAGTGCCGAATTCATTCATACAAGTGATTCAAGTGCTGCATATTAGTACCACAAGTGCTGCAATTGCGTTATTGGATTATCCGGTATTCTGCGTAGATGCAATTTAGACAAAGATGACGACAATGATCATAGCAGCGTTGCCCTGGCTACCGAATTATGCAACTATAATTTATCTGTATGGCTATTGTTATCATATCAATCCGATAGTTGACGACCATTATGACGTGTGCGTACTATTATATATCATAACCGAGTTAAGTAGAAGTAAAATTGAACATTGTTAATGTTGAACCCTTAAATAGGAGAGATTTAATTTACAGAGTGACACTTAATGGGACATTATTTGAAGTCTAATTTGTTTAGTTCCATTGACCATCGTGAAACTCAATAGTTAATTCTAATATCTATTAATTATTACACTGTGAATTTGTATTGATTCCTGTGAAAAAATGAAATTGAAAAAGTAACCTCATATATTTTACAGCACCAAGAAGGAGGGAGGAGCTGCCACAATCCAACCAATCTGTGTGAGTATCAGACTAAGAAACATGTTGTGAACTATATTATTACGTGTTCTGAAATTATTGGTTTCGGTTTTGTGCTCTGCTAATTATTTATAAGTGCAGGTCATCTTGTCATGATAATGATCCCTTCCACAAATGTCTTCTTCTTCTTCTGATTGGTCGACTCACAATACGTCCCCATATCTCCAACTCCTGCTGCTGGAGAGAGAGACTCCCAAACTATATACCACATATTCATATTTATCATATTAAATATCGGAAACATACTCCTGGAGTCTTGAAGCTCTGTTACCACCACCCCTGGTGCAACGGAGAGACAGGGACTTCCAGGGGTGGTCGTGGCCTGCTATGTGCAACTCGTAGGATATGCAGTGTTCCTGGTGGGTGTTACTTATAAATCTGGTTAACGGGATCGTCAAACAGTTGATACACAATTACCTGGGTGTTTAACTGGGAACTTTGTCTCTGGTCCTCGCTTATATCGAATCACACAGTATCCTGCAGTTCCTGAAAATGTCCCTATTTTTAAACCGTCCATGAATATAACATTGCCGAGTGCGAATTCTGGTTGATCCCGACCTGTAACGTTACTGAAAACCGCTCGGAGTTTATCGTTGTTTTGAATTTCCGATCCAAAACTGTGGTGGTCTAGATGTTGTCCGTGATTCTACATTTCAGGGCTGGTGTGTCTGAAATTAGTTTTTCTATTTTGTATTCGTGGGATTTTTAGTTCCCTGATCTGTTAAAATAGTAATTAGAATTCCAGTTTCCGTTAAGTTGCAACGTGTTAAATCCTGGGGTTACAAAAGACTGTTAGCCTGTGAGTGTGTTAAATCCTGGGGTTACACGAGACATGTTAGCCTGTGAGCGTGTTAAATCCTGGGGTACACGAGACATGTTAGCCTGTGAGCGTGTTAAATCCTGGGGTTACACGAGACATGTTAGCCTGTGAGCGTGTTGAATCCTGGGGTTACACGAGACATGTTAGCCTGTGAGCGTGTTAAATCCTGGGGTTACACAAGACTGTTAGCCTGTGAGCGTGTTAAATCCTGGGGTAAATTAATGTGGTTCTAGCGTATTTTGATATTTTGAAATAACCTAACGTTACAAACTAAAGTATTTAAAAGATTTACTGCATGTTTCAGTAAATCTACAGGTAGAAGTAACAGATTAAAGAAACATCTGTTATTGAACCTACCTATTGAACCTATTGATAGGTTTAGAAGTAGACATCTTCACGGCCATCACGCAAACTGCGGACCACCTCCTTGACTGCACCAGTCTATTATCGAGTTAGAGTTTCTGCACTGTATCCAGGAGTAGGGGGCTTGTCTGGAAGGGTGTCTAGGAAGTTTCCAAGAGATGTCTTGAAGCATGTCAAAGTCCTTTGAGTATTGACAATTTTGGGGAGAACATTCCAGAGTCTTCCAGCTCTCACTGCGAATGAGTGGTCGTAGGTGGAGTGTGCAGCAGCTGATGCTTTTGTTGTGAGAGAAGGGAGTATAACTTTAACTCCCAGTCTGGCATTCTCTCTGAACTGTACATCTAGGTCATTTGGACATATACCCTGGAGAACTTTCCACAGATGTATGATGGTGTAGCGTTCTCGGCGTCTTTGCAGTGATGCAAGTTTCAGTTCCTTCAGTCTATTCCAATAATCAGTGTCTCTGAGCCCTAGAATTCGTCTAGTGAACTGGCGTTGTATGCTCTCGATAGACTGGATATCATAGATCTTGTTTGGATTCCAAAGCGGGCAGCAGTACTCCACTCTGGACCTTATCAGGGATTTGTAGAGCTGGAGCATAACAGGTGTTGTCCTGTCTTTGAATACTCCAAGAACCCAAGATGCCATCTGACGTGCCTTGTCAACCATGATATTGATATGTGGTGTCCAGGAGTAATCATCGGACATGTTGACTCCTAGGTCACGCACTAATGGGCTTCTTTCTATGACTGATCCATTTGGAGTGGTGTAGTTTGTGATGTCACTCATAAATGGCAGCTCCTCTGAAAGTGATTTAGAGGCCGGTGTTCTATAGCAAACAAGTTCAAACTTGTTTTCGTGCAGTTTCATGTTGTTGTCCTCGGACCAACGTATGATTCTGTTTAGATCTTCTTGAAGAAGATTGCAGTCGTTTAAAGTCGATATTTTTCTGCCTATTCGGGTGTCATCGGCAAAACTGCTAAGTTTGGAATCTTTCACGTACTGATCTAGATCGTTGACGTAAAGAAGAAAGAGGATTGGACCAAGTACAGTCCCCTGTTGTACTCCACTGATAACCGGCATTGGCCTAGAATGTTTTCCATCAACAATGACCGTTTGAGTCCTATCAAGGAGGAATTGCTCAATCCATTTGTACAGATTACCTTGTATTCCATACGACTTAACCTTTTTAAGAAGTAGGGAATGATCCACCTTGTCGAAGGCTTTAGCATAATCAAGGTATATCACGTCTGTTTCGGAGCTGTCTAGGTAGTTGTTTAGGATGTAGTCCATGTGTTGTAATAACTGTGTAAGACAGCTTCTACCTTTCCGGAAGCCGTGTTGCTTCTTAGAGAATATGTGATTCGACTCCAAGTGCTCTACCATGTTCTTTCTTAGTACTCTCTCAAACACTTTTATCATATGGGAAGTTAAGGAGACAGGTCTATAATTTCCCGGGTCTGTTTTGTTTCCTTTTTTAAACACTGGTGTGATATATTGTTCCTTATAGACTGAAGGAACTTGACCATTTCTGAAGGAGTTCTCCCAAATGATCATCAGGGCTTCTGAAAGCGGTTGTTTGCAAGCTTTCAGTATCCTTGCTGTTTTTACTACCTTAATTTATACAAATCAAACATTATGTATTATGATATTGTTTGACGAGATATACTGTTTCAGGGAAAGACAAGCCAATAAATCTAGGAAAGGCTGGACTCACGTTAGTTATATTTTTGAATATTTTCGTATCCTCCTTTTTAAAGACGCCCGTGATATCTTGCAATACCGAAATATTTATAAAATTAACGAAAGAATATATTCGGAATTCAACACATTCTAACGATTAATAGAACTGTAAATTTCGGTAGGAATCTATTGACATAGCAACTGAGACAGGACGGAGTATTCATATCAGAGCCGATGGTAAGCACTCTCGTGAGAGATATTAAGAACTGTTCGAATTAAAAATATAATATAGTGCGGTTTCCAGATTTACAACTAAACAGATTGCATTATTAACCATTATCTGTATTTATTATTGCTTCTTCGAGAGGCAGTAGATAATTATTATCTGTTGATTTCATTTCAGAGCTGAGTTCATACGTAGCAGATGAGGATAAGGATGATGATGTAGAAATTGAGGTACTTTTTTATTGGAATGAAATATTGGCAACAAATACATATTTCATAGATCTTTCAAACTTTGAGGCAGGCCAATTAAATTCAACGATTCATTATTTTCTAATGCAGGCTAAATTGCTGCACACGCCACCCTCCACCGTGGGGTTTCAAACAAACGGTAGAGTCTGGTGAACTAGAATAGGGAAATTGTGTTAGAGTCTAATAAACTTAATTCAATCAACTGGTTCCTGAAAATGACATAGTTTTCAATCATAAAAAACTGCATACACTCCTAATATATGACCGCCTATGGCCTAATGCCTAATCTACTCTATTCTCATAGCGGTAATGATATGTATAATGGAAGAAAAACGGTAGATTCAGTTTGCATTAATGATTGAAATAAAAGGTTGCAATAACGTTAATAAATAATAACCATTATAATCATCTACATCGTCAAAAGGGTCTACTTTGCTTATAACTAGCAAAATTAGTTTATGAAAAGTTTTTATATTAGCGCTGTGTACGGTAAAATTGACGAGCGCGCCGCGCAATGCGTGCAGCGTGTTGTTTGATTTATCGCTTTGTTTTGATCCAAATTACCGTTGCAAACTTGATTAATCTTCCCGAGTAATGGCTAATGGGTTTTGACAGTCCAATAAATTTCAATCCAAGCATGGCAACGGATGTATGATCTGTTAATATGGCAGCTAATCCGCGATAATCATAAATGCATGACACTGACCGCCGACGATATATTTTCAGAGGGTTGCTGTTGCCTGTTAAAAGTTTACAAATAAATAAAACGCATCTTTGACAGATACAACTTTGTTTGGTGCATTTTAAAAGTCATTAATTGATGTTTGAAGGGCGGAAAGTATTCTATACTGTTATCAGTGCAGTCTGAAAACTTGATACAATTGATCCGACGAACTGCTGAGAGATCACAGTCTGTAGGCGCCCTAGGCTGTAGTTTATGTGGAATGTGACTTCATGAATCTTGGTGCTAAAATCCTTTGTTACAGGAACGAGCTGAGAAGGATTATTTGTCTGGTGCTTTAGTCGACTCAGATTCAGAAATAGAGGAGGAGGACGAGGAGTTCAATTTAACATTCACAATGTCCGATCTTAAGGTTTACTGTCTGTTATACTTATATGCTTTCAATTACTGACTAGTAGGCAAAATAGATAACAAATCAGTGGATGTAATTACAGAAAGTAACAATTAAAATGGTGCCGGTAATTTTCAAGTACGACGGATGGATCGAGAAAATAAATTGTTCCTCGTAAAATCTACCGAAAAGAGAGATACGATACTAAGAGTATCCAATTGTTTTATCACACCCGTCGTTTAGGTAAAGAATAAAGGGGAGGGAAAAAACTAAAATTCACATATTCTGTTTCAGAAAGTAAGAGAATCGTTGGAAAGATCAACAGACAAAGACATCTCTGAAAATGTTAGAAATCTTGATACTTTTCCGTTGAAACTAAATTTTTAATCGGCATTAATTCTTGTTTTGTTAAATGTCTTCTATAGAGATCTGATCTCACTTGATCACACAACAATCCACCAGGAGTATAGCTCAGAGGATCTTGCGTCTGAGGACAGCGAGATTGAAGAGGAACTGAATGTGTCCGATCAGAGCTTTGAGAGTGAGGAGGAGGAGGAAGTTCCGGTCTCCGAACCAAGGGTCAAATCTACAGACATATTTGTGCTAGAGTTCAACAAGCCCCGCAAAACAGTACGTCGTAGTCCTTATTTCCAAATTTCATCTATTTACCAACGATTTTCTTTGTTTTATATTGTTAATACCGATCTCTTTCAACAGTCGAAAATTCCCAATTCGTTAATTTTGCTCTTGTACCATAGTTCTGCTCCTGCTGTACCAATAATACCACATTTGCCTTTATTACAGGTGTGCGCTAGTCCCATAGTGAGAGGGAACAGGAATACTGTGGTCCCTAAAACAGCTCCCTCTGGGACAGTCTCTGTTCCTAGAATCAATCACGGAAGTGGTCTTATCAGAGATCTTTCTGAAACTCAACAGGTACGTTTTTATATTCCTGTTTTATTGCATAGTAATTAATTAGGAATAGATTCAGTAGGAAAGGTGTCGATGATCATGTTAGTCCATACGCTGATAAAAACATTCCAATTACTCAAATGATAATTGCAGGATAATGTAATGATAAACCAGTGTGTGAAGGACGCTATAGCCCGAGAGAACCGATCGCACAGTGTTGGTAGTATGCGACACAGCCCCCTGCACAGCCAACCTCCCACAACTTGTATTAACAGTTAGTGTTAATATCTTAGTTATATTATCTGGACGGGATGTTATGTACTCGAATATTAATGAATTTCCCCAGTTTTCTGATCACATTTTTAAAAGATTTTATTTTTTTGTTTCTTTGCAGCAGTTAAAATACATATGTTTTTACAGGTATTGATTATCTCCATTTCCAGATTTGAATGTTGGTATGTCTCATGGTGCAGCAGAGAAGAGGAAGCGAAAAGAACCTGCAAACGAATCCCTCACGAATGAGACACTGAACATCGTCACAAATAAAGTAAGTTTAAAAAAAGTTTTTAATGGGTACCAAATTTGAAAAGAAATGAAACAATATTGATTTGATTGATCATAGAAGTAGAACTAATAACGAGTGACATAAGATGAATATGCGATCGTAAATTTTGTCCATAATGCCTAATAAAGTAATTAAAATCCCCAAAACCAGTCATTTGACCCTTAAAACAAGCACTGAAAAGCGATGCTGAAATCAAACTTTTCGGAAAATAAATTTAACTATAAAATTGTACGATGTGATAAGCACAAATCCTCAATCTACAACTTTATTTTTAAGTCCGTGATGAGTCGTTATCTCAGTGATTAGGTAGAACACTCGCCCTGCACAGGCATTCTGGCTGACAGCAGCACAATCGGTGTCGTAATAGCACTGTTCACCGTCCAGGTAGCACCATTCTTCACAATCTGCACCGCAGAACGGTGCGAGTAAGTTGTTCGCGCACTTTCCATCGTTACAATTCCTCCAGCACGACCCCATCCAGCATCCGTAGGAGCAGCCGTGTTCACTGTCACACTCATAGGCATCACCGTAGGCACAATCTGTAATATAATTGATATGTAACTTATCCATTTTGTTCCGTAATGACACTGGGGGCAACCGGAGTTGTACGATTTATGAGGGAAAAGCTTGAGGTGCTAACTTGTATTATTTAGCCAGATGATGCTTTTTATACAAAGTTAACATGATAATAACACTAGGCTATTTCTTTAAATAATGCTTACTGAGATTAATAGAATGGTAACGTAACTCAGTTATAATTGAAAATTTTAACTCACCAGCAGCTTGACCCAAAGCAACGATGAGGCCAACAGAAAGGATAAAAAGCACAAATTTAGTCGCCATTATGAATAACAAATAATAATGATTATCTCCAATTGAACCTGCTTATAAAGCAGCATTTTAGTTGGTATTTTTTAAGCTGCACCTTAGAATGTCATAGGTTATAATTAGATAAAAATATTTATCTTAATTCTATTAATTTTGACTGTCGCCAGATTATCATTTTAGCAAATCATTTGCCTCATTTCAGTTCAGAAACGTGATTTCAGGTGAAAGGGCATACAAAATCGGCTGATCGACAATCTAATCTACAATTCGTCTTTTAAAATATCTTATTTTAAGCATATATTCTAATTACAATACGTAATTTCAGGTAAAGGAGATGAGTGCGAGAGAACAGAGAAGGTTGCTAAGAGTTCTAGAAAGACTCGACACTGCCACCCCCATAATGCAGAAGATAGGAACCCTGCAGACTTCAACCAGTTCGGAGGGGTCCACTAATCAATTAACGGGTTAGTTCCAACAACTTCTCATTGAGAGCTGATGAGCTGTCATTCTTCTGGTTAAGTTTTTGCCGTACGTCTGATAAAATCATTTTAAATGAATGACTTGCAGAGTTCTTTTAAATGAATGACTTGCAGAGGTTTCCATTTGCAGTTTGGCAAATGACCAGGATTGGCATCATTTCAAACTAAAGAAATTGTGAGTTTCATAAAGTCTAATTATTCTAAAATTCCAGATACGACAGTTTCACTGAAAAGGCATGATGTCAGTAAGTACACCCAATTGTCCACTTTTCGACAAAGAAAAAAAGTGTTTTCTGCGTTTTTGGGACTCATGACCGTCGACAGAGAATTTTTTGTTTTCAAAACTAGTACATGATTGTTAAAACATTAAAAAGTTGTTCATTTTGTTGATGCGACTTCAAACCATCAAATTACAGGTGCTTCAGTGTTAGGTACCAGGGTAGAACTGAGAATAGTGAGTAACTGGGGCCACGCAAGAAAAGTGGGTCTCACTCAAGTTACTTTCTTTGGGCCTCAAAAAGAAGTTGTAACTCCCTTTTCTGTTAAATCAGCAGGTGAAATTCCATGGTGTTAAATCTGTAGCCAGGGATTAGGGGACGTAACACATTTGAAGAACTATAATTTAAACTCTATTATTCTACAACTAATTCTAAATATTATCTAATTCCGACACTTTTCAAAAGTCTGTACAGGAGCAGTGGATCAGGCGTACGGGCGGAATATAGAGTGCCTGCTGGACGGACAGTCCCGTACAACTAAAGAGGAGCACATGTGGTCCTGTCCTTATCATTCCGGACAGAAACTGGTCCTTGTGTTCACACTTCCCTCTGATATGCCGGTATGTTGAGCTTTTAGCGAGGATATAGAGAGATAATAATATATAAAGATGAACATCTTGTTTATCTGCTTTTTGTATGTTTATCTGCTTGTGTTAAATCTCCTGACTAGTATTGTGACCAGTTTCATCACAAATACAATGATTATATGGGCCAAACATCTACTCTGGTTTTAATATCGATGTATCATGATGTATTATTACTCGGAACTGAGTAAAACTTATTGCAGCTAACATCGTGTCATGTGTGGAACTATAACAAACAGATATCAGAACTAAACGTTGGAGTTAAAGATGCGGAGTTGTATGTTGCTAAGCAACGTGTCTGGTCTGGTGAGCACTTGCCTGTTTAAAAAGAAAGAAAAAGAAACTTTCTTATTCACTTTATAACTTACATGTTACTGACCGTCAATCTTTCCACGGTTTATAGTTTGCAAGCTGCAACAGATTTCTGTCTACATAGCCCTCCAATCTCCATGGGATCCAAATCTAGGACTTGAGACTTCAAAAGGGGTCACTGTCAACTGAAAGCTCAAATTGACAACCCCAGAAGACGAAATTGAGAAATCTGTACTTTTATATTGTGGTAGAACAGCTGAGTTCGAAATTGCTAAATTGTGTAAAACCGTAACACTCGCCGTACCAGCTCTCGAGTTTAATGTTTACACAAATCTTTGGTAAACAGCTAGACTCTCGGGTACTGTTCCCACTATCCGGCAACAGACAATGTTCGTCTTGGATCTATGATCCAATACCTTTGTGCGACACTCAATTGTGTGATTTTGTTGCATCACGGCCCTGCTTAACCTGAGAAAAGGGCTTCTCCAATTAATCATATTGTGACAAATTGAATAAGTATGTCTTTAAACTTTTGAACATATCCACCGAATAACAAATTTTAACAGGATTCAAGTTGTAAAATAAAACACTACGATAATAGGTTTTGTTATTGTTAAATCAATCACTCATCTTCTACCATCACTATGTTAGTGCCTTCCACTTCCAGCTCATCATCACTTCCTAACACGTGTTGACGTGTTATCTTTCAAGCAATCCTTTCTTAGAATTTCAAATCCTCTAATATTTCTTTCGAGTCGAATGCGTTCTATTTTTACTGCTGATGCTATTCTCTAATCCACATACTGACTGAAATTTCATATGAAAAAATAGACCTTAAATCGCTCTTCCTTCGATTAAAAAATCACACAAATAAAGTGGGCACAAATTTACCGTCGGACTGTATTTATACATTACGATTTACGGGTTTTTAATAATCTTGCATTTCTTGTTGTGTGATTTTGAATCATTGACATTTAACTAATGTTAACTTCTATGAAAAAAGCAATCACTAGTCAAACCTTTTAAAGTACGTGTCCATAAGTGTGGTTTAAATTTCATGTAATAAGGTAGTTGTATAATATTTGAATTTCCTAGTATCTATGTACGAGAGTACGAGGTAAACATCTTTCTGCAATCTTCTTCCTACTTCTCAGAGCTATGTGAAAGCTCCATTTTCTCCGAATCAATGCTCCTCTTTCTCCGTACAATTGTTGGGTCGTCTGATCCTGTACCTGACATTTGTTAATTCTACTATCTTTCATAAGATTTCCTTCTTGGATGGGTCTCAGTAGTCCTGACATTTGTTTTTATTGTTTTTAATTAGTCGTTAAGCATTTATCACATATCAATCCACAATTAGTATTATGATTATCAATTATCTTTCGACAATCGCTAAAGATGAGAGTTGCTTCTTTCTAACATTTTTATTTAGACCGTGCTTTTTAAAACTTTCAGCGGGGCCAGGAGTAGAGAAAATTCTTGAATTTGAAACAGCATTTGATTATGCATTTTTAAAGAATTTCCGCGACTCCTCAAGCCTGTAACTTTTGGGGACTGTGAACTTTTCCCCTCCTTCGTAGCACAACGAAAACTGCCAAGATAGTTATCCAGTTTGTTACTTTGATAAGTTTCCCCAGTTCATGTTCATCTCTCCTGGTACTCAGTTTTTTGAGCCTCTGAATTTTATTCGTAACGTGACCTAGTCACATTTTGGACAATTTTAACCCCCCTCCGTAATCAGTTTTACACATAACTATTGTATACAAATTACACTAGCGTAATCATTTATAAACCCCCCTCCCTCAGTGATTACGTAATTTGTGAACGACCCCTTACTGCACTAACTACTCTGGTGTCTGAAATCCCTTAAAATCAAACGCATCACTATAGATATTCTGATTACATAATCACATTATAATATGTAGATATTCAGTATCTCAATATAAAACTACATCACAACAGAACACATGTTATTCAGAATCAGCATGAATCCTGATTCCTAATACCATGCTAAAATAAGACATCATTATATAGTTTGCTGTGGAAACACTTAGTTGGGTATAATAACGTGGTGTCATTTTCAAGTGTCTAAGTAACCTTCAGTCTATATATTTCTTGTTGAGTTGTTCATTGTCAGAACTCATATAATATACTAACATAACAAGTCGCGGCAGTGCCAGCTGCTACCACAAATTAATTGAGTCACTACTCAGTATGTAAATTGAAGAGTGTTATACAGCTGTTGTCAACTGTCTCGTTCTCGCGAATTTGCTCTTATTTTAATCTGAATTTGCTCTGATTTTAATCTGAATTTGCTCTTATTTTAATCAGACTTTGCTCTGATTTGCTCCAATTAAATTACTATCACCTAGTATAAATTCACAGTTTCCCAAAATGGAATCCCAAAAAGGACAGGAGTCTCAAAAAGAAAGACAAGTTTCCCAAATGGGATTCGCCGGTTGGCGGCCAACGTATCTCCGCAGATTCAACAACCCTACCATGTTTACCGCCATTTTCTCAGTGAGCAGTTTCTTTCTCATCGTCCCCTACGGAGTCCTGTTAGTTATCCTACCAACCTTGGAAAGGGTTTTTAACTTGAACTCTAAACAAACAGGACTAATTCTCATGTTCAACGACATATCAGGAGTTATTGCCTCGGTAGTCATGACAAACTGGTACAGTGCCAAAAAGATTCGGTGGATCGGGATTGGTAACTTACTGATAGTTGCTGGATATCTTTGCCCGGTGTGGACTACATTAGTTATTGAATATCCAGCACCTCAAACTGCTGAATCTCACAACATGTCCTCTTCACATAACCTGTTGTGTGAGGGTAGAGAGCAGGAGGGTAGGGACTGGGCTAACCGGAATCATAACTACTATTTCATGTTCCTGTTCGGATTCTTCTTGCAAGGTTTCGGAGCAAATGCCCCTCTAACGGCTGGTCTGACCTATCTGGACGAAATATTTCATCAAAAACATTTTGCTATTGCCTTATCGGTAGTCGCAGTGTTTTCATTTGTAGGATATCCATTCGGGTTGGCATTAGGATCTGAATTTATGGGCTGGCACGTGACATTGTCAATGCCTGAGGGGATGACTGTAGACAGTGCTGAGTTTGTTGGGGCTTGGTGGTTGGGAATTTTGATTCCCTCTGTCGTCGGATTTTTCCTTGCATTCATCGTTCTGCTTTATCCACAACAGATGCCGGCTGCAAACGTTGTTTTGGCATCAAAGATCAGACACGGGATCGCTACTCTGAAAGAGAAAGAAGAAGAACTCAATCAGTCCTTTGTTGAAGTGACAAGAAGGATGATACCGGACTTTCAGCGGTTACTGAGAAACCGAGCTCTCAACTATCTTGTCCTGGGAGAAGTGTTCTTCTCACTTCAAATTGGTTTGCAGGCTTACGAGCCTAAAATTTATGCCAAGTTGTTCAGATTAACAGATACCACAGTGGGCCCTATTCTGGGGATATTTCATGGTGGTGGCTTTATTTTAGGTATTATAATGGGAGGACTGTTGGTCAAAAGAAGGGATTGGAAGCCTAAAAGGCTGACTTTCATCTTCTTCACACTTTCGCTAGTATCCATACCTTTTCTATTCGGAGCGCTGTTGAACTGCCCTATGGACAAGCCTCCCATCGCTGTGGCGTGTAACTACTCTGATTGCAACTGCACGACTGAATTCTACGATCCAGTGTGTGATGATATCAGTGGTGTGACCTACTTCTCACCCTGCTTTGCTGGGTGTAACAGGGTGGTTCTCAATACTATTCACGATGAAATCAACCCAGTTTGGGGCTGGGGAAACTGTTCATGTGCAACCTCGGGGATAGTTCATCCTGGAGAATGCGGCAGTACCTGTTCGGAAACAATGGCAATATCTCTAGCCATAACCACCATCCAACAGGTCATCCAATATGCTGGTTTTGTGTCCCTGAATGTCGTATTTCAGCGAATTGTTGATGAGAGTGATCGGACAATCGCACAAGGATTGAGGCAGAGCGCTCGAAAGGCACTGGGTACCATCCCGTCGCCTCTACTTTTCGGCTGGATGATTGACCGATACTGTACCATCTGGAAGACATCTTCAGTAGACGGTTCTCGTGGAAACTGTTGGGTTTATGACACTGAAACCATGATAATTTGGTTGTGTGTAGTGCAAGTTGGGCTGCGACTTCTCAGCAGTTTGTTTTACTATCTCTGTTGGTCGAACTATCCCGCCGATTTGAAGGAAAATTCTGCGAAAAATCCTCTAATTCAGACAAACAAACGTGAATATTACTCATCAACGTGCTCAACATCAATGTGTGCTGAAGAAGAGTGAATGATTATCATATTCGACCAAACAAGAGATAGCTGAGCTAGCAAATTGGCATTGTATACAATATGCAAAGAGCTGCAGGCTATCTAAATGTTCAGAATTTGTTTATAAACAAATTTAATTTTAAGAAGTTCTATAAATATGATCACAATGAAAGCGTTGTCAGTAGCATACAATCTTTACTTAAGTTCTAAAGTGAGATTTATTTAATAATGTTTACTTTTCAACGCTTTATTAGCAATTAAATTATGTAGCGTTTTGATTTCAGTGAAATCTAATTGTGTAGCAGATTGATAATGATGATGTTATCGATTAGCAAATTAAAGACCAACGGTCGCAGGCATTGATCCTGCAAAGGACAAAGATGCAAACGAGTAACATCAGGAGTTTAGAAATGGTGTGACACACTATTGGTGTCAATGAATAATGAGTACTAATTACCTTAGAGATTATAAATTTACATTCCAAAAGGTAGTATAATGACAATTGTGTCACAACATTAATTCTCTACATTCTGAATCGGCAATTTCCAATTTTGCAAGTATGAGCTTATTATCTCTTAATTTTGGTAATGTCCACTCCCTCTTATCCGGGCAATGGGTCCGCCATGACACTATGCAGGTCGTGACTACAAAATTGAATGTAACTTCAACTTTGATGGTCATATTATCATGGTCAAATTATTTTGGTCGAGATCAATTCAATTAGTAGCAGCATGAAGCTTTATTCATTGAGATATATTGCTTTCGTAAAAACTTGGTTCGTCCAAATCATCATTTTTCTTCGCTTCCTCCTATCCTTAGTTAAAATCCATACATCATAAACACGATAAAGCAAACCGCACGTGCAGTTTAGATGTCAAAAGTCTGTTCATGATATGATAATGATACTGATAGTCTTTCTCATTGTTGAAATTATCTTTAACAGGTGAAATCGCGAAAGGGTGTGGGAATCAGGTGTTCGAATACGCTACTGTCATCAAACTTACTGAAGAAGATGAAGAGGAATTAATTTCTAAATCGTACGATCAAGTAGAGAAGTGTGTGTTAGAAAAAGGAGCTAACAAGAAAGTGAATGAAGCTAGGAGTGAGTCAGTGGAGATGAAACTGTGTGACAAACATGTCAACTTGGATGAACTAATAGTCGTTGGGTGAGTTAAACTATCTTTATCCCTCCCCTTACAACCCTTCAACCATTTAGGACTTAAATAGCAAATGAATGTAGCTTATTCTACAGAAATACTACAGGGTGGGCCAAAAGTCAGTACCCATACGTTGGCCTTAATAGCTCCGCCGTGTTTTATATTTGAGAGCTGTTGCTTTGCAGATGGCATACTGTACTTACTGGTTCGAGGATTCCGTCGTCAAAATTTGAAAATTCGAATATTTTAGACCACGCCCATTCAATATTAAAACACCTATATTGTTTTCTCTGAACATGCTGAACGCCTAATGTTTTCAGAGACGGTAGATTATCAAATGTTGCATATGATCTGAAAACATGAGGCAAAACGGAGTAGAAATGACGAAGTTATCAAGCATTTTCTGTATCTCGTTAACAAAATTGACTGGGTGATTATGTGACACCGTGACACGACACCTTAATTGGGCACCCTTAACAATTCCCATAATGTTTAACGGGGTAGTTAACGGGGTAACCTTATCACGTGATTAGGTAAACCAATCACCTGATCACACGTAATGAATAAACTCGTTATGCTTCATATCTCGGTAATCTGAGAAGCTACAGTTCTAATTCTTTCAGGACAAACGTAATTCGAATGGCCAAACACAATTCAATAACATTTAGCTTGATCCGACTATCCAAACTATAAAATAAATGTGAAAATGAACTTCCATTTGAAAAAAATGAACGCGAATATTTTTCGAGTTGACAAATTCCTCGAACCAGTGGTGGTACTAAGTCATACCAGAAAGAAGTATTTAAATTGGGCACTCAGTGACTCAGCTATAAAGTCCAACGTATGGGTACTGACTTTTGGCCCACCCTGTATATTTTCAGATGATCTTGAAGTTTTCAGAAAGCCTCTGAGAGCACTGAAAATTTCACTCCCTAATTTCGTTTTCGTGCATACTTCCTCAACAATCGATTCCTTGTTTTTATTAACACCCAATCCCCTTTTTTATTTTAGTCGGAGTTCCAATAGAAAAGACATGAACGTGATCTTAAACGGGGCTGTCAAGGTACCTTTTAACTATTTTACATTTTATCCTTTCCATATACCGAATTAAGATGATCTAAAAGTAAAATAGACTGAACGACGAACGTTTTCGTATTCTTAGTCAATTTGATTAAACAGACGAGATAGGAGTGACGCTACTTTCGTAAAAGAACACAGTGGTTATGAACGCAGAACGAACGCTGGCATTAACCCAATTTGTAATTATCCTTGTACGGTCTCGACTCTCATACTTATCCTTTTCGTAATGGGGTCTAATTTGGGGTAACTCTGTATAGTAAATCTGTTACCAAGGGTATAAGGAAGACATTTACCCTTTAACTTTTAATTTCTGAGCGTAACCTTTTATTGATCCTTGAGTTCTGCGTACTGTTACATTTTGTGCCATATAGCCATTTCTTCGTCATGAAAGAGTCTGGTAGTGAAAAGAAAATAGAAAAGGTAGGCTGATAGAAAGTCAAAGTGAAATGCTGATGACCGATTTTATTTTTAATGCAACCGCAAAGTTTTAAGTTTCACATTAGTTTGATTGCAGATGAAGTTAACGTCGGTCAATGCCACACCCCGGTGTCTACCCCTGGTTTCACGAAACCTACTGACCACTGGCAATCAAAAATTATCCGTTTTTAACAATCTTTCTATGACCTGACGTTTTTATTCCGGCAAATATTAAAAAGTTCATAATTATGTGAAAAATCTAAAGCTGATCGTGTGCACTGCTGAGTTAACTATAACAAGCAGTGATAAAACTTGCCAATAAAACTTGCTGACTGAGGTCACGTGACATTGAAGTCGGTCACATGATGAGTGTGACGTACAAGCTGTGTTAACAAATTGTAGCACGTATGAGCAATGCAAACAGTGCAAACACGCTATAATCTGATTTCCTAATCACAGTTTCTGTCTCCAACTTATTGAACTGTTGTTTGTTGCGTCATTTTGTTTCTAATGGTTCAGGTAATCTGAATTATTTCCCCGACTCTCCTTCCCGAAGTGAATCTTCCTTAGTGACACGTACCTTCTTTTATCAACGAAAAGAACCTTACCACTTTACCAAAAACGCAAAAAAGTCAAATACCAAACAAGTAAACCTCACGGAATGCCACTCCGCTGTCAGGAAGCGGAGACTGCGGTGACAGAGTTCTCGTTTGCCGGCCCCCCAGTACGGAGGACCCCAGTGGAGACGAGCAGGTCTCGTTCTTCCACCAGGAACTCAAGCAGGGACGGAAGGAGTGCTGGGGAGAACGGACGAGAGGCTGGAAATAGGGAGGCAACACCTACTTCTGTCAGCACTATTGCTTCCTTAGGTTCGCTGTTTCTACTTGAATTTTATAGCTGAAAGCCATTTTCTTTTAAATTATATTATTTTAGCTCAAAAATAATTTTTTGAGGCAAGAATTTATTTCCCAATCTATATCCAAGTAACGGACTCACTTTAGTATCCTGATATTGGAAGCGGATATAAGTATGCTGGAAACATCAACTCACTCTTCTCCGTCAGGGAAACCTCATGAGCCAGCGGATCCATCACTGTGGCTCACCAAAGCAGACCGTCCTAAATCCCGGGGTGCCTGGCTGGACGAGAACAAGAGAACAGGATCGGGCAGGCCCTCTAGTAAACAAGAGAGGTGTGAACCTTATCCTGCATCTAGAGGCAACTCCCCTGCTGTTACTATAACTGCAGCTGTACCGGGTGAGTGATTGTGTTTCTAAATTGTCTGATTATCAATTATGACATTTTTCAATGGTGGGGAGGAGGAAATTTTGCTGTTTTAATGTTGACGATCAAGACAATGCTTTTAAACGTTTGATAAGCATTTCTACACGATGTATTCTACTCTACACTAATTGTACATCTCATATCGATGCTTAACTACAAAATCGTATATTAATTGTTGTGAGCAGCTCAGCAGCTATCAAAAGGCTTTCACAACACGTGGCACGTGCTAATAGTGCGGTTATATCTGATTTTATGGTTACAATTTTTCAGCTGACGAGGGCCCTGTCGTGTCTCGTTCCCTCCAGAGAAACCAAACCCAACTACAGCAAACTCTCCTACGATCTCTAACTTTCGTGGATATGAAAGGGAGCGCCTTGGAACAGTCCCTGAACATCATCCACGAGTTCGACAAGTCTAACATAGGACGGTTTGTGGACATGCAATACAGTAGTTACTGCTCACTGCTTAATTCTTCGGAATATATTTTAGATATTATTTTATATTATCAGCGCCGTGTTGATGCGAGCTGTCCCTGTACTGCATCATAAAATTATTTAAATTATTTATTTTTATATATTTGTAGTTTGTGAATTGTACCTGGTTGTATTCTTAAGCAACGTTTTGTCAACGATTTTCTGCCTATAAATGTATGCATCGTTTGTACTAATAGTTATATACTGTATAAATATAATACTATACAGCTATAAACCGACTATACCGAGAATCTTTTAAACTTTAAATATGAAGAAATAAAAAAGTGTTTCTCCCTCCCTTACTGCAAGGAACTAAGCCGATCACTACAGTGATTTCAGGTTGGGTGTTGGTCAGGCAGATACTCTGGAGGAGTTCATGGCCCGCTCTCCTTCTCCGCAGAAGGAGATCTCCAAGACCGCAACTCCGGTTGCTGGAACTGAGCAGTGCGACTTTGTCATTCCTGAACTTCCTGAAGGTAACACTTCAAGCTCAAAGTGTATATCATGTATCTGAGGAAGCTCCTCAGTTTTCTGTTTATTCTGTTTAACTCTTTAAATTTAACTATTTATAATAATATCAGCTGTTAACTCTTTATGTTTGCCTGCTTTGTTTGAGAGTTGCGTAAAATTTAGTTGCAATAGTTTGTTTCGTTTTCACCCTATGTTCTCCACAGGAAGTGTGTTTGTTTCGTTTTCACCCTATGTTCTTCACAGGAAGTGTGTTTGTTTCGTTTTCACCCTATTTTCTTCACAGGAAGTGTGTTTGTTTCGTTTTCACCCTATGTTCTTCACAGGAAGTGTGTTTGTTTTGTTTTCACCCTATGTTCTTCGCAGGAAGTGTGTTTGTTTCGTTTTCACCCTATGTTCTTCACAGGAAGTGTGTTTGTTTCGTTTTCACCCTATGTTCTTCACAGGAAGTGTGTTTGTTTCGTTTTCACCCTATGTTCTCACAGGAAGTGTGTTTGTTTCGTTTTCACCCTATGTTCTTCACAGGAAGTGTGTTTGTTTCGTTTTCACCCTATGTTCTTCACAGGAAGTGTGTTTGTTTCGTTTTCACCCTATGTTCTTCACAGGAAGTGTGTTTGTTTTGTTTTCACCCTATGTTCTCCACAGGAAGTGTGTTTGTTTCGTTTTCACCCTATGTTCTTCACAGGAAGTGTGTTTGTTTCGTTTTCACCCTATGTTCTCCACAGGAAGTGTGTTTGTTTCGTTTTCACCCTATGTTCTCCACAGGAAGTGTGTTTGTTTCGTTTTCACCCTATGTTCTCCACAGGAAGTGTGTCTGTTTCGTTTTCACCCTATGTTCTCCACAGGAAGTGTGTCTGTTTCGTTTTCACCCTATGTTCTCCACAGGAAGTGTATTGGAGATAAAGATACATACCACTTGGGGGGACAAGCACTACGTGGGGTTAACAGGAATTGAACTGTTTAGCGACACCGGCTCTCCCGTCACCATCAATCATGTGAGTTTCAATCAATATTGCTTAGAATTTAATATGGCATATACTATAGAGTTACCGTCTTATCATTTGTTGAGATTTGTTCTATACCCGTCTCCAACCCTCCCAGGATATGCTTGAGACAGGACAGCCTATTTAAATCTATAATTTAACATCATTACATTCCCTACTTGAGCAAATAGCGATGAAACTAAACCCTCAGATAAAAGCAGACCCCGCGAATATAAACATACTACCGGGCTATTCAGACGATCCCAGAATTGTAGAGAACCTGCTGAACGGTGTGAACAGGACACGGGACGACTTTAACATGTGGCTGGCACCATTCGAGGCGGGCAAGGAGCATTCCATCACCGTCACCTTCAAGAGTAGCACCAGACTAGCACTGTTCCGACTCTGGAACTACAATAAATCTAGGTGGGTTCGCACTTCTGGGGTCGACAGAATTGTTCGTGTTAGAATATTTCGCTGAATTGATTAAATACAAATTAACATAATATCAGAATCCGGAATTGCATGTTTTCTTGGATGTACAGGCCAAACCAAGAAACCAAACGTAACACCCCACTTAAAGTTAGTTACATCATGTGACCAGCTGTAACACCCCAGGATCCACTCCTACCGAGGAGTACGAGACATCACGGTAACACTAGACAAAGTCACCGTCTTCCAAGGTGAAGTAGCAAGAGCATGTGGGGGCCTAGCTGGGGGTACCGAGGCGTACGGCGACACTATACTGTTTACTGAAAACGAGGATGTACTGGATATGGTGGCCGGGTTCGACCAGACTTACCAGGTATGTGTTATAGTTCGTTTGATTTGTTGTTGTTTGTGTGTTCAATATGGAGGTACGGGTAGCATTCTTAACTTGTCCTACAACTTACTCGTTAGCCTCAATTTGCTCTCGACTAAATGCTTCAAAAATGTTATTAATCGAAACTCAATTAGTTGAACTAAAGACATGTGAATTATAATATGCCTATTTTAAAAGTTCTTCTAAAGTTAAATTGATAAAAACGTGGTCCATCTCGTGCGAACTTTCCTAATGACCAGGGTCAAAACCCGATTTACCACTGCGTACTCACTACTCCAGTTCGACAAATATTTTCCCTCCATTTGCATTGTCAAAAATGCCAAAGTAGGGGTTGTATCCCAGTAACTGAATTAGCATACTCATGATCAGCCTATCAACTTTGATTGGTTCGAATTATTGGAATGTCAGGAACACGGCCGTTCAATTTAAATCTACTCACAGAACTGGAACTCTTTGTCTTTCATCCATTCTAATGAAATTTTAAGATGTTTTTATAATTTGGCTTTAATTGATATGAGAAAAATTTGAAGCCGCTCCCGTGAGACAACTCAGTGGTCGGAGTTTTCCAGTTGAACTCTTGAGAGGAAATCTGATAAGCAATTTTTTCTATCTTATGCAATGTATTATTGTGTCACTATAAATCAGTTGTCATTGACAAAACCTTTTGGGAGATAATTGGCTCTTTTTATTTATTTCCCTATGTTTGCATCGAACATTTTTTATTCTTGTTAAATGAATTGCAGAACTAGATTGGTATTTGGTTTCACTAAACATTTTCACATTTGATAAACTAAGAACAATATTAACATTCTTGAAACCAGCCATATTCAATATTATAAAGTTATAATTACCACATGCCCCATCATCGAAATAGATTGTTAACATCAACAGTAACTGCCCTTAACTTGAATCAACTATTATATCGTCCTTTCGGCCAAATCAGTCGAAATTCAGTCAAAATCGAAGAATCAAAAAACAAATAATTCTGATACCATACTCTATTGAGCTGAAATATAGCTGTACTTCAACTTGCTTTTTAAAGAATAAAGGGCGGCAAACACGATGGTGATGTTTACTTTCATCATAACTCAAGTGTTAGCTGTTTTTAAAGCTTAAATTGCCCATCGCGTCGTACAGGATGACATTTTAAATTTCATTCCTTACTTCGTGTATGTGGGGGTATTTAACTTTCATTCCTTACTTCGTGTACGTTGGGGTCCGGTGTACTTACCAATTGGGTAATTTTTTGTGTCGACAGCACCGTCAAGGGTCCTAGCAAAGGCAAACTGATTGGATAGTAAAATATAACATACTATTTACATTTTACATTCGTTTCCGGTACCTACTAAAGGTCTACTAACTCTAAGCACTAAGGTGTTATTTATATTAATGCTTTTTATACAAAGTTACAACAAAGTCTTGTAGTGTTGTAATTAGTTTAGAACTATATTGAATATTTAAAGCCAAAGACTTCAGTGAATGCTGAAGACGGATTTTACTTATTTTTTAAAATTGTGTTCTTATGGAAAACTTTTGTATTATTTTGTGTGCTATTTTCAAGGGTGAAACTGTAGCGACGATAGGGTGATATATCCATCTTTATACTTTTATATAATGACAACATTGCCCATTTTACTCACGTTCTACACAAAAATCCTGTCATTTCGTTCAATAATTCGTTGCAATTATGTCTCTATCGTCTCTAAAATGCATAATAGCTCCCACGTGCATGATTTTCTCACCCGACCGCGATTTTCGAAATACAGTAAGTGTGAAAACGATGTACACATTACACATGTATTTTGAAAGCTCCTGCTAACAAAAACTTTTGCATGATTTACGTGTTTCAAGAACCCTCTAGCATCCAGATACACTGTACACTGTACAGTGTGAGTATTACGTTTACACAATATTTTGCTTGGTCACACACACAGTCTAGCTTGCCTTGTACGAGATATATACAAGACATATATAAAACGAGATATATACAATCATATTAATACAATCATATTCATACCTGTTTAAGTGTTATCTTATATTGTCTTGAAGAGCTTAAAAGTTAGACACAGCTATCAATGAGGAAACGTACACTGTTGGCTGTTGACCAATGACCACGTTCGGGTGACTCATACAAAATCGCAAAGAGATAATAAACATGTACGCAGTGAATATTTTGAGTCAATTTTTCTGGAAGTATCATTATTAAGTTAAATTATGTAGATTTATAATATTAACCGATCACTCAAGAGAATGCGGAGTTATCATTAGTAGCGGCCGAAAGATTCATTGTGCAACGAGCATGTAGAGGCTTATGGCAAGAACACGACGGGAGTGTGATGTGGGTAGTGGCTGAAAATACTGGTAGGGATTTAATGATAATCATAGATAAACTCTCATGAATTGAATGAAATTAGAGATATAGCTGCATGCAACAGATGTTGGGAAAATCTTTTTCAAGGGTACAGTTTACCGCATTAAGGTATTTTTAAGAATCATTTTTGTCGGTAAGATCCTGTTTTATAATAATAATAATAGATAAAATTAAACGGCCTGTAGTTCGATGTTGGTTGAATAAGCACCAGAGAGCACGAGAAAATCAGGCAAACTTGTTGACAAGACAGTGCGTGCTATAGATTAGAATGCATTTAATAGAGAATAATGAGTTTTCGGAGCATACAGCATAGGCGGGCCGTATTTTGGTGCAGCACATACAGGGCTGGTAGAGGAATATATAAGGTCGGACGGACGGTCGAGAAGGAGATTGAGTTTTCCCGATTCGATAGAGCGTCATTGATGCCGGACTGTAAGGGAGCCTGAACTGGGAGAGAGAATTGGTGGTTTGTCCTATCGAAGGATAGTTGGTGGTCGGAACCTGTAACTCTGGTTGAGTTCTGGTTGGCCTAGAGAGGAATTGATAGTAGACATAATGGCATGGGTCATGGCGGTTTTAAGCTAGGAGTTTCAGCGTGAATATAGACAAGTATTGACGGCCGACTTTATATATAATAGTATGTCTGGCTAAAGTATGTGTATAGTGATTGTATTTCATGATGTGATATGTTATGGTAGGATAAGATCATTAGATAGGTGGGCGATTTTGGGCAATATAAGTCTGGTGAACTAGGAGTTAAAGCAGAAGGTTGTCGAATTATTCATTGTGTTGTTTTATAGTTTAATATCTTGTAACCATCGTTATTACTCTTGTTTTCGTTGTTCGTACCTTAAATTGATACAAATAATCTACGAATCTGGAGCAGATGGTGACTGCGTACAAACATGATGATAAAGAACGTGTGATAATTTAGTTCTATTGTTTCTCTTATTGTTTTCTAGTGCCTTAGTATAAGGAGCTATCATGCAAGGATTAATATTGGTCGTGCTTTACAAGGTAATAGAGCCAATTAATGCCTGGTGGGGGGGGGGGGGGGGGGGTCGGGGGTCGGGGAGGGCAAGCCTGGTCAACTCGGCGTCCTTTTAAACAAGCTCTACAAATGTAAGCTATTATACAGAGCGGTAACCGGTAGTTGTAACTAATTAATAGGTATAATTGAGCACGCTTATCGGCTTATTGCTCAATTATCTTCCGAATTGTCGCGAAATGTTTCAGAATGAATCGGTGATCCTGCAATCGCATCCACCAGTTCCCACAGTTGCAAAAGTGATAACAAAAGGCCACCGTTTACCTGGTCCTAATTAGTGAACTACAACTTACATATTCATACACAATTTACATATCCCTCCATCCCTCTCTACCTTCCTCCTCTGCTAGATTTCAATGTCCCCCATAAGCCCATAAAGCCATAAACATTAGTCATTAGAGTCAGTTTTATCAAGCTAGACCCACTTGTACTTACTAAGCTGTGCACAATGTCTTAATGATATTCTAGACAGTGGCCCCGTCTAAACCTTCCTTCCTTCGCTATTTTCCTCTAATCTCTCCCAAATTATTTTAGCCACCGTTTTTATATGAGAACAGTGCTCGTAATTCTCGAGTCTCTTACTACATAAAGACTACAGCGCCGAATTCTATGGTTAATAATTAGTCCCCTTTTACACAATATGTTATTAGCTTGTATTAACCACTTGTAGCCACTTGTAGCCACTTGTAGCCACTTGTAGCCACTTGTAGCCACTTGTAGCCACTTGTAGCCACTTGTAGCCACTTGTAGCCACTTGTAGCCACTTGTAGCCACTTGTAGCCACTTGTAGCCACTTGTAGCCACTTGTAGCCACTTGTAGCCACTTGTAGCCACTTGTAGCCACTTGTAGCCACTTGTAGCCACTTGTAGCCACTTGTAGCCACTTGTAGCCACTTGTAGCCACTTGTAGCCACTTGTAGCCACGTGTAGCCACTTGTAGCCACTTGTAGCCACTTGTAGCCACTTGTATTTGTAGTACAATAATTTCGACAAAAAGCATGACTTTCGTAGGAAAATATTCTTTTTTTAAAAGTAAAACCTCCCTATACTGCACCTTTACAATAAACCATACTCTAAGATGAGAAGTACGTACCGTACCCGCTTAAAGTACGTACGGTACGAGGTTTTTTATTAGTACGTACCGTACAACCACTTTAAAGGGGAACCGGACACGAGGGCGGAGAACACAAGGGCGGTACTTTCTTAAAAGGGCGGACACGAGGGCGAATCACATGAATCACTTTAACATGGACAAACGGGTTTTTTGATTTTCTCAACAGTGTGGTTGAGGTAAAGCTTAACTCGATGAATTGGATCTACTCCCGTGTAAATTTGAAACAAAACATAGTGATGTGACAAATAATCACCCAGATTTAAAGTTTAAACGAGCCAAACATTGAGAGATTTTAATATCTCAGCCAACTCAGCAGCAGATTTCGGGGTTTGGTAACGTGCTTAGACCAATCAAACACTGCCTAGATGTTCATGTGACAAACTTGGCATTAAAAATATCGCAGTCACTGACGCTACGGTTACCCGGGTTTAGATCAGGGGGGTACGTAC